TTAAATGGACCAATTGGCCAAAAATACACACAGTCCATCATCTAAAGGTGCAAGCCATCTGGACATGCTGGAAAGTGTAGGTCTATTTTGTCTCCAAACATGAGTAGGATTGTACCCTAAAATTTGCACACACACTCAGGAATTGGACCACTTGCTTAAGTGCTGGTTAAGGAGACACTGAACAGACCTCTCCTGTTGGACTGAAGAACTTGTGGCCCTCCAGAGATTTTGGCCTACAGCTCCTATCATCCTTCATGACTGGCTCTACTGGCTGGGGCAGATGGGAGTTGCAGGCTAACACATCTGGAAGGCCACAAGCTGCCCAGCAATGACACACCGTAATCACACACAGTATGAAAAGAGAACTAGCAAGAACATTATTTGTAATGGGAAAACAAAATATGAATTAATGAATAAACATATGAAGAATCAAATTTGCAACTGAAATGATGGTAAATCAAAGGTAAATTCTGCCATTATTCTTGCTTCTTCTCTAACTATCAGGAAATTTCTCCGTCTTTGTGTTGTTAACGGTAGGAGATGAACATTCATGTATTCACCTGTTCATTTCTCTCTTACTGATTTGTTAAAATGTGGTTTTAAAAACTTGAGAAAGAAGCAAAACTTCTCAGTGTTGGGAATGAAAACTTTTTGGATGACCTCATAGGAGGCAAACCGATGCCCACCCTGCACAGCCAGCTTCAGAGTTACCAAACCCCTTCTAACCCCAGGCTCTTCTCCAGATAGACACATACCTTCTAATCCTGCCTGGTAAGGTCTTTCCCCTTATCTCCTTGGAACTGTTTATGTCAGCTGCACTCTCACATCTCTTGCAATAAAACTTTAGTGCACATTAATCACCTTTTACAAGGCACTACTGCAAACAAGGAAGGGCTGAGCTCAGATTCTCTTTTACACATTCAGAAACGCTTATCCTCAAGCAACTGGTTCGGACTTATTGACATGAGCATATTTATGCATTGGCCAGAGCTGGAATATCATTATCATTTGAATGAGCATTAATGCTTAGAACTAAACACGGGCTTATCTAACTTGAATTTTAATTATATTTGCAATACATAGTGTGTTCTCCTTAACATTTAAGGTATCCTATGTGTCAAGGGATTTTTTGAAAAGATGTTTGCGGGGCGGGGGGGTTACTATGAACTGACAGAGAGACATCATCAAATCAGTTAAGGTGCTCCCACAGCAGAGAGAAAGTGGACATTGCCTCAAACTCTTGTATACTGGAAATGCACAGAAAGAGGACTTTCCCCTCTCTCTCCTTCAGAACTAGCTTTCAAAGCCTGGTGCACAAAGTCTCCCTACAGTGATCCAACCGGGCACATACCAAATCGCAGGTGACTTGGAATCGTGGGCTTGAGCTCTGAACTGGAAGGCAGGAAAGGAACGTGTGCAAACATAGCAGAAATAAAATTCTGTAAAGGGGGTTTATCACCAGGGTGGCTGCATGTCCTTTAAATGTTTGCTCTCCCCCCGGCCCACATACCTTTATAGGGGATGGTCCTATGGTTTGAAGGCAACATCTGTTTGAAACCTGCCCCTTCCAAGTCCAGTGTAAAGATTTAAAAACCTTTAAAAAAAAAGAAAGAAAGAAAGAGCAGCTCGGCCTTGAAGTTGCCCACACAAGTCCAGACAGCAGCCAAACCAAGGTCCAGCTGGCCTTTTCACTCTTCTTCTCCTTGGAGAGATGTTCTGTGTTTCTATTCCCACTATAATAATCCTTTCTAAATTTGTACACAACACCACCACCAACTGTTTACGATGGTCATCAATCTGCTCATTCATAATTGAAAATTTACAAGCGGCACCATGGATTAAAACATTCCAATTATTAAGTAGACAGAACAGCAATACATATATGTTATTATTTATTTATGAACACATCTATACTGCTTAATATAATACCCAAATATATCAATTAGTGGGTGCAAATCTTGCACAAACTGGTTTTTAATTCTGTCCTCTTTTTAGTTAAGGCATCTCCTCATTTTGGGGGATTCATCACTGCCCTCATTATATGCCACTCACTCAAGGACATCCCAATCCATACGTCCCATCATCCTCAAACCGGGAGAAGGAATGTTTTCAGCTGGGCACTATCTTTCCTTGGATATCCTGCTATAATTTACTGGTATGAAACTCATTCTATGAGTGCGGATACATGTGTTGCCAAGCTCTAACACCCACGCACTGGAAAAAAAGTAACTGCAGGAGAAGACTGAAGTTACAGATTTACTCAAACACAAACAAAAACAGTTTAGGGGAAAAAACAAGGGAAGGGCCTCAAACACTGCCCGAACGAGTCTGACCAGTGAAAGGGAGCAGAATGGGGATCAAATGGAATATCCTGAAAGAAGCCAGGACTGAAACTGAAACTCTAAGCAGAAGCCTGCTGCACTGCAACATTCTGTTGCAGATCTCTCAAATATTTACAGATAATAGCCTTGCAATTAAATAAAACCTGCACACCTTCTTAGAAATTATTCAGTTGTAAACTGGAATTTGAAAAACCACTTCAAGTACATAAGATGACATAGGAAATGCTTTGTTACCTTTCCTGCAGAATAGAGGGCCTATCTGACCTATTTGTTCTCATTCAAATGAAACTTCAGCATCCAATGATTGCTATCTGCTCCCTGCTCCTCCATTTACTGAGAAGCACCAGGGTCCAAGTTCCTTTTGGAGCAGATGTCACAGAAGACTTGCATTGTGTTATATAATTGTGCAAGAACTCATCACACAGTTAAACAAGCTATAGTCACAAGACCGTTCCTACTAAGGTCTAAGATAGGCTGGACATGCACATGGTGGGCATGTCGTGAGTGGAGCCGGCTGGAGCATGGGGTCAGACTAGATGGCCCGGGAGACCCCTTCTGACTCGCTCTGTTTCTATGTTACTCTTGCCACTCAGTGCCACTGAGAGGAAAACTGGGGAAAAAATCAGGAACTCATACTTTCTGCCTGAATGGGAGCAGCCCGGCAGCCCGGTGGTGATTTAGTCAACAGGAGTGTCCCAGGAGTAGGCTATTCTTATCGGGCTAATGGTAGCCAGTGGACTTTAGTCCCAGGTAGGCCCGGGGAGAGGTTACAAGAAATCCAAATATGAACCTGCTATCATGGGTGTTTTTGAAGAAATGCAGCCTCAGGCCTGGAACCTGTTTGGAGTTGTACACCTAAATTAGTCTAACTTTGCATAGGATTGTTGCTTAAATTAGGGTTAAGCAACCTGGGCACACACGGTAAACCTAGCCCCTAACCTGCGTCCTGACATGCGTAAGTGGCGGTCCAGAGAGTTGCATAAGGGCAGAACAGCCTCAGCAGGTTTATTTTCCATTCTTTTCCTGATCTGCTAACAGCATGATTGAGGTGGGGAATAGAATCCTAAATGCTACAAAGGTAAAATAGGGTAATAAACAGTCACAATCAACAACCCGAGCGTAACTGGCTGAGTCACGCCTCTGGAATTGCTGCATGAAACGACAAGGGAAGTCACGATCACAGATGTGCAATGACAGCTGGAAGAGAATTCCAGAGGGCAGGTCCCATGGTGCTAACTATTGCTAGGATCTGTAAAGTGAGGCTCAGGGTGTGCTGTAAAGGGCAGACCTGGGCAAGGATGGCGACTGATCCTGGCCCAATGATATCAGCCCAGTTCTGCCACTGAGCTATGGGGCCTGGCCCCACAGCTGCACACCTGGTCTGCATGCCAGTCTGATCCCAGGCAAATCCAGGCAGGGCTACCAAACATCACCCTGAAATTCAAGGTGAGCTGCTACCCATTAGCACCTAGGCCAGCTGGGCCAAAGAAATGACTCAGTATATGATGGTGTCACATCATATCCGACATATATGAATATTTGTGCACAAACTGAAAAATAATAATACTATGAAGTGAAATTGAAATTCCCAAATAAGGTGTGGAGGGCATTTCTCTCTGGATTCAGTACAGAAGCCCTCGAATCAGGCAGATGGGCTTCTGGATTAAAAGGTCTTGCTTCTGATTTTAGCTGCCCCATCCAGGCTGCTACCCCACCCTGAAAACTGCCCCCACCCCAGCAAAAGGGCTAAGCATGGTGCATGGTCCCCTTCCTCAAATAGTCCTGCTTCAGCCAATGGCCACCGAGTGGCTGAAATCGACAGGAAGTACTTTCTTGGCATAGGAAGTTAGGACCCCGAGCGTATGGAATGGGCTTCCACGAGAGGTGGTTGAGGCCCCAACGGTGAGGGTGTTCAAGGATAGGCTGGACATCCACATGGTGGGCATGTCGTGCGTAGAGCCAGCTAGAGCCAGGGGTCAGACTAGATGGCCTGGGAGACCCCTTCTGACTCGCTCTGTTTCGATCAATAGACAGACTTCTGAGATACACACTGCTTCCGCACCCTTCTTGTGAAGCACTCTGCAACCGAAGAAGGGTGCCGCTGGGCACCTTTCCCAGTCAAACCCAGAGGAGAACCAGAATGTCCCAAAGTGTGGCATTGCGTGTACAGTGCAGGACTGGGGCTCAGGAGACCAGGGATCCAGCCCCCAGTCAGCCGTGAAACTCACTGGGAGACTCTGGGCCAGTCACGCACTCTTGGATTAACCTACCTCGCAGGGCTGTTGTTGGGAGGATGAAATGGAGGGGAAGAACATGGAAGGCCCTCCCCACCGGGTTCCTTGCACGAGGGAAAAACGGGATAAAAATGTGATCGTAGTAAGCAAGCCTTGCTCCTCCTTCCAAAAAAGAGAGCCTTAGTCAGGAAACAAGAGCTTGTCCGAGAATGCAGCTTGGGAAAGAGAACGGGAGCGGCTGTTGCTGCAAGACCGACGTAAAATTATCGCCAGGGTGGGGCAGCCGCGCCGAAGTGCAGTCCGGGCGCCAGCCTACCCAGCGCGGAGGTGTGGGACCTTGCCCCGCAAGGTGTGTCCCCCCCTCCCCGCAGTGGGCGGATGAGGCGTCGGGGCTGCGCCCCAAGCACCTGTCTCCTGAACTCACCGCGGCCCAAGCGCTCTCGCGTCTCCGCCTGCCTGCCTGCCTCTCTCCGCGCAAAGTTCCCGCAGCCCGAGCTCCGTGCGGCGCCTTCTCCGCGCTGCCGTGAGTTCCTGCTGGGCTCTTTCCAAACCCCGACGGGGCCGGGCGAGCTCCTCCCAGCTGCCCGCCCCCTCGGACGCCGCCCGCTTCCCACGCGCAAAGCAGCTGCCTGGCGCAAAGCCGGGCGCTGCGCCTTGGCGCGGCCGCTGCGCTAGGAGCGGGTGTCCCGGTCCATTTCATCCGTCGGGAGTTGCTCTACAACTACAACTGTGGACTACAACTCCCATCACCGTGGTGTGCCCTTCCTACATGTTCATCCGCACCCCCCCCCCCCCGTAATATAGCTTTTTTAAAGCGTGCACTGTTGTTTTGAAAAAACGTGCAAACGAGACACCCGCTGCTTTTTGACAACCCCACAGAAGTTTTAGCTTGACTACCGGCCTCCAGGAGAAGGCGGGTTTATCCTTTTAAGGGAGCAATCCTTTGAGCTTTTAGAAGGGGAAAAAAGCTTCACAACTGTCAGTAGGTCCAAGGTCCATGCCTAGTTGTGCATCACCAGCTGAAAGAGAAGAACCGCAGCTGGTATCTTTCCCTGTTTAGTTCATGCCAGAGCTAATTACCTGTCCAGCAAGCATGAGATTTGGACCCAGGGCTTCTCAGGCCCATGGAAACCTCTGGGTAGCCATGAGGGGTGCCATGTCTGGGGACTAGGCACGCAAGAAGCCGTCCCATCTTGGCACAGCGATTTTGCCCATAAAGCCCATTAATATCGACTTCAGGGATGGAGAACGGGTGGCCAGTCCAGATGCTGTTGGACAGCGATTTCCAGTATAGCCAATGGCAAGGTGGCCCTCCCAACAACATCTGGAAGGCCATACCCTCACTGGGCATGGAGATCCAGACCTTTTCCACTGCCTGTTTTTGGACCTTTTTTTTGGGCATCATTGGGGTTTGAACGTGGTGTGGAATCTCTGCTATGGTCCATTCCTGAGGGCAGGAAAAGGGAACAATGTGGCCCTCCAAATATGGGTGAACTAAAACTCCCATCATCCCACACACCCATCAGCTAGGGCTGGTGTGAGTTAGGATCCAGCAACAGCTGGAGGCCCGCGTATTCCCCACCCCTGCCCAAGGAGATTCGAGCAATCCGCTGTGCACAGGGATTCCTGGAGTCTTCCATTTGGTGCCACCTTGCTGGCTGCAACACAGTAGTTTCATGATGTGCCATAAATATGGATGAAATTCTACCAAAGTAGAACTGAAAGGGGATCCAGCTTTTGGATGCCCCCTGGACAAGACAGTCAGTGGGGCCTCTCCCTCACTGAGTCTGCCTCTTTATTGCCAGGGGCTCTGGCTGGTACAGCTCCTCACTTTCTTTCACATCATTGCTACCTCTTGTTTCCTTGACAGCTTGAGAGCCAGAGAAAAATTAGGCTGGGAATCTACTGCTCCTTCTTCTCACTCCACCCCTGTCTGGGTCAGACTGAAAGAAGAGAGAGACAACAGCTTGCAAGGATGAAGAAGAGGACCAACCAAGGTCGTTCTTAGAGTCATAGAATCATTGAATGGTAGAGTTGGGAGGGGCCATGAAGGCCTTCGGGTCCAACCCTCTGCTGTTGCAGAACACCAAGTTACACCATCTTACTGGTGGGCTCCTGCTAGGGTGTGGGCCCTTGGCAGGTGCCCAGCCAAACCTACCATTGACGCAGGCCTGAGTCAACAGCTGCTGCCTATTGCATGAAGACAGTACCTAAAGCCCTTGCGCCCTGGAAGAAGTCTGCCATGGCTCCCTCCTGTGCCAACATGGCTTCCATTTCTAAGTGGAGCAATGCTTGTGTAAGAGCAGTGAAGATTCAGGGCTTCTAACACTATTGCTCCTGCATTCCTGTAGCTGCCTGTGAAGATACCATTGAAAGGAGATCCTAGTAGACAAGTGGGATCCATTGCTGTATATCTCTGATTCTGCATGCAATTGTCCCCAAGATGATAGCACCTCCAGGAGCAGAAAAATCCTGGAGAAAACCCATTGCTACAGATATGTGGCTCGGTAAGTAAACTCAAATACTTTGGCCACCTAATGAGAAGGAAGGACTCACTGGAGAAGACCCTAATGCCGGGAACAATTGACAGCAAAAGAAGGGGATGGCAGAGGATGAGGTGGCTGGATGGAGTCATTGGGGCAGTGGGTGTGAGCTTAGGTGGACTCTGGGGGATGGTGGAGGACAGGAAGGCCTGGAGGAGTGTTGTCCACGGGGTCACGATGGGTTGGACGTAACTTCGCAACTACCAAGAAAGCAAAGCAAGCAAAATGAATGATAGGAGCAGCTATTGCAGGTGGGCACAGGGAGTTTCCAAACGACAAGGGCAGTGGGGGGGAGGAATTTCTTTGGCTGAGGTGTCATCAATTTCCAGGCAGCGTTTGGAATCAAAGGCAGGCTATAGCAGACTGAGTTCAACCTGTTGTCCTGCAGGGATTACTTGCCTGCAAAAATAGCAACCACTACAGTTTTTTTTTTACCAGTCTTGCTGTACAACTCTCTAGTTGACCGCACAGAGGCTCAGGGAACATAGCAAGTGGGTTTGGCTGTAATAAGCACTAGAACATGGCACAACATATACACCGGTCTGCTAGAAGAGTGCTGGGTTGGGATGACATGTTAAATCACCGTGGCTTATGAAGTGTTATGTGACTCTATCAGAGATGCACTTTGGTTCATTCCGGGCATGTGAATTTTCCCAGCTGGAAACGCATGACGTGAGTGACTGATAAGTAAGATGAATCAAGCCCTAACTGCCAGCATGAACTTGAGGCATGGTCACTTCGCAATGGCTCACTTTTAAGAAGGCAGTAATGAGGCTGTTGCTCATGCAGCATTCTGAACAGCATGAAATTCAGTACCCACAAAATTCTGTCCTTCTTGATAAATCTTGTCACAAGATCAGGATTTCAACCATTGTTATTCATAACTTCAGTAGTCTAGAGCTGCACATACGGGTGCATGTGTTTCATCTTCCCAGAGCCTTCCAACCAATAGAAGTTGGGCATGCTAATTTGCTTTGAAGGAAAGGAGTTGGTTCAGCAGTCACTGCCCTCACCGTCTATTCAGCTTTCAAGTGCAATGAATGTGCCCTTACGTCTGTCACCTTTATAACCTTCAGGCTGAATTTCTGTAAAGGCTGTGCCAGGGATTATGCTTGCTAATTTTGGAAAGCTTCAGAATTCTGCTCCAGGAAATAAATAGGGAGGGAAGTGTGTGTATATTCTGTATGTGTGCCTGTCTGGCTGAGCTGGGAGGAAGAGTCATTAAAACCAAGTGGTTAGTAGGAATACATGATGGAAAAAGTACAGACAGTGATCATCACCTTAACAAAACGCTGATGGCTGATAACTGGGTGGTGATGAAAAGACTGACATTGCGGTGTGATTTAAAATCCTTGTTCAGGGCACTGAATACAGAGTTGAATCCTTTGAACTGGAATTCAGCCATTGCAGGTCTCTGTTTGTGCAAGAGAGGCCACCTCAGTGCCTTTGACAATGCTGAAATATTCTCCTGTGTATTTTTTTCTAATATTGCCTTTCCAGTTTTGTGTCCATTGATTCTTTTGCACAGAGTTTGACCTGTTTGTCCTCTGTAGAATGAACCACCACATTGTGGGCAAATGAATGCATTTATTTAAATATATATTGATTTCATTTTATATCATTTTATATGGTTCAGTAACTTAAGCTCTCTGGGCAGTTCATAACAACAATTCATAAAAACATGAACCATGAAGACAATGAAAACAGCATTTTTTTCCAACGTACAAACTTTAAAAACAAATTGAACAACTAAAAATAATTGTCATACAAACTAGACTTGTTAAAAACAGCTGACCTAAATTCTGCCTCCAAAAAATACCCTTTAATGCCACTCAATGCCTGGGAGAATAGAAGAATTTTGACCTGGTGTTGGAAAGATGATGAAATTGATGCCTGGCAGACTTTAGAGGGATGATCCTTCCATAAATCTGTGAATGATATTAGGAGGCTGAGTACCCGGAGGAGGGCTTTCTCTGCGGTGGCGCCCCATCTATGGAATGCGCTCCCCAGAGAGGTCCGCCTGGCGCCGTCGTTATTTGTTTTTCGGCTCCAGGCTAAGACCTTTTTATTTAAAACTTATTTTAATTGTTAAATTATTGAAATAATTAGGATTTTAAATTTTTTAGCCAAGAATGCACCGGGAGTTTTTAAACAATTTTTTAATTGTTATATTATCACTATTTATGTATGTATTTATGTATTCTTTGTGAGCCACCCCGAGGCTTTGTTGCGATGGGGGGGCATAGACATGTTTTAAATAAATAAATAATTGGGAGAATGCCAGAAGAAGGCCCTGCCTCTTGTTGGCACCCTCCAAGCCTTCCTTGGATTGGCACTTGGAGAAGGTCCCAGGGGTTGATTGTAGCATCTGGGGAGCTTCAGGCTGAGAGGAAGCCAGGCAATGAACCCCTAATGTTTGTGAATGGTGACACCGGAGCTGTGATGGGGCTGTGGATGCATGGACTACCAATCTGGACTGCTCCACAGAAGTGAGTGCTAGAAGAAGGGTCCAGAGATTCTGGCCCCACAGTTCACATCCCCCCCCCACCACTTTGTAAGATGTATGTAGCACACCAATGAAAACGCCTGGCAGGATACATTTGTGTGTCTTTAAGGTGCTGTACAGTTCCTTGAAGCTTGTATTGCAGCAGACTAGCAATGGCTCCCTGCCCTGACACTGGGGAAGGAAAAGCACTGTACAGAGCAGGCCGGGCTTCTCGTGGTCCACAGCCCCTGCCAATGAGGAGGAGAGATCATGGGAGCTGTAGGCCAACGCAAGTTGTCCAGCCCTATTGTAGATGCTCAAAAATGATGACCCTTTTGGACCCAAGGTGAGGTTCCAAGCAGACATTCACTAAATATGTAGCATGCGGCTACATCTCCTGCCTTTCCTGTCCAGCAAGAATAAAAGCCCCATTCAGGAAAGAAGGTCCCATTGGTGGCCAACTTTCAGAGCAGATTTCTTAGACCGCTGCTGAGGAACCTTAGGAAGCCATAAACCAGGCACTTTTGCTGCCCAGGTAAAGTCACAGGAGGACCCTTTCCATTCTTTCCCAAGGATCCAATAACTGGTATCATCCCAGAGCCCTCAGATTTGAGGGATCAGTGAGGCTCCCCTTCCAGGCTTAAGTTCTGGTTGCTGTTGTGGGTATCACTGACAATGCACCAGGGAGTACAGGGCGGATCGCAGTGACAATATGGCAGCTGCCATTCCCCACAGTGCCCTGGGAAAGTGTAATATTGGGAGCACTGGGAAATGGAAATGGCAGCTCCCAGGTCCCCCACTGCAGGCCACCCCAGGAGGCAAGCAGCAAACTGTGTCAAATCACTAGAATGGAGGCAGATGTCCAAGATTGCCCTTTACAATCTACTGAACCTAAACTAAGCCTTAATGGCTCCCCAGGCAGGGCCATGGCACATTCAGCTATGCAGTTCTAGCCTTGAAAGTACAAGAACTAAAATATAGTAAATCGTGGTTCACATTAGAATCAAATCACTGCCAGCTACTTTACTGTAGAGACGCAGCTTATCTACAAAGAGTGCCCTTTTCACAAGCATTTCTGCCTGGGCTGCTCCTTTCCCTTCTCCAAGCAAAGGTTACATGACTTAGAAAAGTAAAATTAATCCTGACTTCCCTCCATGTTTGACCTGTAAACACAGAAAAGGCAGGGCATGGTTTCAAAGTCTATTGCTACAACCCTACAATACTGGGAGGTGAAAAGCAGAACAATTCATGTTCGTTGCCCCACCCTCCAGTCAAATTTGGCATGGAGAACAACAGAGCCTACACAGGAAAAAATCTGTCTTTCTTCTCAGATAATACATATGGAAATGTGTTTGCTTTGCATACAACTGCCTAACATTCTGCTCTATTCTGAGTGTGTATTTGAGCACCGAGTGTTTCCATGTGACTGGATGCCACTCCACTCAGGTATCACCTGTGGGTCATCACAGAGCATTAGAGCAGGAAGGAGCATGAGGATCAGAGTATGCGCTCCACCACTACAGTGAGCTGGCACAGCCGGTCATCCAAGAGGTCTGCAGCAGAGAACGTTCGATGAACTGAGGCAAGACGTGAAGCCACGTGCTCCAAAAGAAAGCACAAACCCAAGAGGTCTTGCCAGTGTGATCTGACCTGGGTGCTTCCGGGTGAAGGGAAGCTAGCCTGGGAATTAGAAGTCCTTGTGCAGTGTTTGCATCCTTTTCTCCTGCACAGATTTTGTATGGGAAAAGACGGAAGAAGGTATAAGAAAGTGCAGAAGGGTCACCCCCCCCTTCTGGAGGTCCCTAGGTAACTTTGGGGCAATCACTGCCTCTCGGCCTCTCGGCCTTACAGAATCATTGTTGGAAAGATAAAATGGAGAGGAGGAGAACCTTGTAAGCTGGCTTGGGTTCCATGCAAAAAGAAGAAAAGTGGGGTATAAATGTATTGCAATGGAGGAGGAGGAAGGCTATGTCTGGACCCTCCTGTAAACTTCCAGGCAGAGTGATGGGCTCCTCTGGAGGCAGCCTCAGAGGCAAATTCCTCCAGCCTTGGATTTGGTGACTCGCTGAATACTTCAGGAGTCACATGGGAAGCTCTTTGAAGTTCAGCATGTGGTGCTTCTACTCTCACTGAAGGGGACCAGCCTCCTCTGGCCAGAGTCACACCAGTGGCACCCCCTGGTGATTTTAAGCTGGAGCCCTGAATCTTTCATTCACAGCCCCAAATCCCTGGTTTGCCACTGTATGTATGGAGAGCTGGACTAGATGGACTTTTGGTCTCATTCAGCTTGGCTTTTTCTATGTTCTTCTTGGAGGCACCTGCTCCACCGCCCGGCTGTCCATGGGCATTTGCTGAAATACAGATGTGCAGGTGCTGATGATCTCTTTTGAGCCCCACCCCAGACTAGTCAGATTTATGCAACATGAGCTTCTGCTCCTGCCTTAAATCTTTCTGCTTTGGTGTCTTCTGCCCCCCAGAAATCAAATACCCTTCTCTCCTCTCTTCATGCATCCCCTTTTACAGAGACTTGTCCTTAGAAGACGGCATACTTTAAAGCAGGGGTCTCAAACTCAACTTACCTGGGGGCTGCTGGAAGCAGAGTCTGGGTGAGGCTGGGCCACATCAAGTATTCCACCACCACGGTGGTGGTGGGCCGCTCATCCCGCGTCGCTCCCGGAGGCCGGCCCGGGTGCCGCCGGCGCTTTGAAGGCTGCAGGGCCCCTCCCCCGTGCCCCTTTGTCCTGGCAATTGGCCCGCGGGCCGCGAGGTTGAGACCCCTGCTTTAAAGACACACAGGCATTCATGCAAGGCATATGTAAATTAGCATATGCAAGCTGCTGCTGCTGCTGCTGCTGCTGCTCCTCCTCCTCCTCCTGTGTGCCTTAGCCCTGGACCTTTCTGGTACCCAGCCCTGCCCTGTCCTCCATCTTCCAGCCCAACATACAACTTGTGGAGGGAGGAGTCCTGCCTTTTCCCTTGGGAGGCTGCCAGGGATGGTCTCACCATGCAGGACAGATGTTCTAGCTGCTGGAATTCACCCCTGGGCCAGATCTTGCTGGACTTTCCACCCTCAGCTGTGATGCAAGTCGAACACTCAAGGGTGCACACTCTGGTAAGAGCATCAAATCACTTTAGGTTCAGGTTCCCTTGCAGCTCCTCAGGTTTTTTCTCCCAAAAGTTTTTTTTTAAACTTCTGCAAACTTTGGGTTTTCCCCAAGTCGTCAGGCCTCTCCCAGTTCTGCATGGATTGTTTTGTTAGGGCTACATGTGTGAGGGGTTTCCTGCCTGCACTTCAGAAATGGAGGGTACATGGGGGAACTGGAAAAAATGCTGTCGAAAGTAGAAGGGGTGACCAGTCTGCTGATCAAATTCGCAGACGATACTAAAAATGAGGGCAGTGGCCACAACTGAGGGCAGGTACTCTGGATTTAAAAGGATCTGGACAGACTATGGAAGTGGGCAGGAGACAACAGGATGGCGTTCAATGTGGATAAGTGCAAGGACTTGCACTTGGGGCATAGGAATGGGTGTCATAAGTGTGGGTTAGGGGTCAAGTGGCTGGGGAGAGCACTTGTGAAAGGGACTTCGGGGTGCTGGTTGACTGCAGGCTAAACATGAGCCAGTAGTGTGGTGTGGCGGCCAAGAGGGTGAATGCCACCCTTGGTTGCATAACCAGAAGTGTGGCTTCTAGATCGAGAGAGGTATCACTGCCACTCTGTACAACTCTGGTATGCCCACACCTGGAGTATTGTGTTCAGTTCTGGGCTCCACATTACAGGAAGGATATAGCCAGGTTAGAGTCAGTGCAGCTTAGGGCCACAAGAATGATGGCTGGATTGCAGGGAAAGCCATATGAAGCGAGACTGGGGGAACTCGGTCTCTTCAGCCTGAAGAAAAGGAGACTCTGAGGGGATCTGTTG